CTCCTGGATTTGGGGAGGGCTAAAGTATACAATCTGAGGAAGGTTAGGAAGAGAAGGCTTGACCCATGCTTGGGTAAAGGCTTTCCAGTGCGCATACCCTCGGGTCATACATATCCCTCAGCAACCCCTCAGTTATCTGGAAGCCTTTGAGAGGGAACTGATACTGATTCTAACCACTCCAACAGCTATCAAAGTACCTGAAAGCAAATCCTGAATCCATCACTCTAGAGTCCAGCCTTGGAAGACAAAAGAAAAATGCGGAGGAACCCAATAGAGGGATGCTTTTGGAAGCCCTTGTCAAGAAATTCCAATGGACTCTCATATGAACATTTGAAATTTGCCCTGTTCTTTTTTCTAGTTTCCTGTCTAGAACTTGTAATGCTAATTACTCTTGCCTTTACTTCTCCTTCACATCTCCTACTCACAATTCAAAGACTTTCTTTTCCCCTTAGAGATAAGAGTTATGCAATTTGGGAGTCTTTTAGATAGACCCACTGAAGGGGCACCCCAATTGCCTCACCCTGCGTCCCCTGTTCAGCATGGAGGAATCGGGTCTGCATCCCGATTCCCTATCTGCAAGTTGGGTACCTTGCATCCTCTTCAGAGGATGGTGTGAAAAGAACAGGAGATAGGAATTGGCTAGGCAGTTAGGGAAAAAAGACCCCAAAGAAAAGTTGTCTAAAACTCACAATGTCCTTGGGCCTCTTAGCAAAATAATCCGTTCCAAAGACCAAAAATATAGAAAGTATCTGGAAGCTTTTATCTAACCCTTAAAAGAGTTTTGGGTTACCTCTTCGGCGGGGGGGGGGGGATGTTAGAGCAGCCAAAAGAAGAAAGAGCACACGAAGTTAGTTGTCAGAAAGAAGTGGTGGGAAGATACGGAGCAGCTGGAGGGGAGGGAGTGGGCATGGATTTGATCAAAACACCTTATATACTTACATACAGGATGCCTGTATGAAATTCTCAATAAATTATTTTTAAAAATATAAATAAATAATAAATAAAATGTGAAAAAAGTATGGCGAGGGGTTCAGAGTTTCTTTGTGGGGGACAGGGTTGAGGGTAACATGGTGAACCATGGCCTCCAGAGCACAGATACATCATTATCAGTGGGACAATGATTTCTTCCAAATTGGTGAGAGAGAATCTTAGTCACTGCATGGGGCCATGAAACAAGAGGTGTCCAGGCAGAGTGACAGGCTGCTGGATTTTAGGAAAGATCTAGAACCTTGAAAGCCTGTCAGTTCCCTCATTCGAACATTTAATTGAGATGGGGGCATACATTCTCTTTCTCTGCTCCACCTCAAACAGTAAGGAACAAGGTTAGCCTGTAACTGGAAGCCCTGCTCAGTCCTGAGAGGCAAAAGCTCATTCTCATGTAGCACGTGAAACGTCAGCAACACTCACATATGGCTTTACATGACATAGTTTGGACTGAACTTCCACGCTGTGATTTCTTTTTTTCATATAAACAAACCATCTTTTCCTGTCACGAAGACAGTGTTTTAACTTCACAGCTGCGGTGTTTGGCTTCTCGGAGCTTTTGGAACTGTACGTGGTTCCTGTGGTCTGTTTCCTTACTAGACCAGGGCATGCTGACCACTGACCCACTGACCCTGCGGAGACCACCAGGAAAGCTCTCACCAGCTAGGGGAGGAGGCTTGACTGCTGACGCAGCTCTGTTACGCAGAGGCCCTCCCTCTGGATGACAACAGAGCAATGTTTTCTGATCCTCACTGGTGTCGAATCATGTGTAGTACCAGTAGTGTGTGTGCATGTCGATGGTTTGGGAATGTCTGCACTGCTGTGTTCATATTCAGGAAAGTTCTTCACCAATGATGCCCTTAACGTGGTATGAAGCTCACCCCTAATAAAAAGTACCAGCTATGGTTCAAATGGGGCATCTCAGGGTGACAGAGTGCCCTAGCGCTGGTGAAATACGGAGCCCAGGACATGCAGGTTCCACACACCTTTCCTGGTGGCCATTACCTCATACTGTGCTGTGGGCTGGGAGTCCAGAAGAGTGGCCATGTAGAGTTCATATTCATCCTGTGCACAAAGCAAGTGAGACTGTTAGGTATCGCCGCGATGCAAGGGATTGTGGGATGTGCCCACCAGTGCCTGCGGAGGCCAGAGTGCCTTCCTCTATAACGCTCTGCCTTAGTTTTTGAAGTGGGGTCTCTCATTGAACCAGGTGCTAATAGATTGCATAACCTGGCTGGCAAGGACGTTCCAAGGATCTTCCTGTTTCAGCCCCACCACACGGCACTGAGGTTACAGATGTGTGTCACAACGTGCCTCCAGCTTTCATGTGGAGAACCCAAACTCAGGTCTGCATGCTTACACAACAAACCCACTGAGCCACCATCTCCACAGACCAAAGGATGATCTTCTGCATACATTAGTCAAAAAGGGTTAAGGATGTCAGCTGACATCATTTCAAAAATAAGTTGTATAGGGCTGGAGAGGTGGCTCAGTGGTTAAGAGCACTGGCTGCTCTTACAGAGGACCTGGGTTCGATTCCCAGCACCCACATGGCAGTGAACAACTGTCCATGACTCCAGTTCCTGGGGAATCCAATGCCTTCTTCTGACCTGGGCATTGCACAACACAGGTGCACTCACCCACATGCAGGCAATACACTCATACACACAAAAATAATAAATGATTTTTAAAAATAAGGTATATAAAGTGTTCCTCTCATGCGGTAAAGCATGCAATTTATAAATTTATAAAACTGAATTGCCTCCGAATCATATTTAACTATCAGTTCTTGATCAGTCGAAGAGCTGTCATGAAGTATTTGATTCACATCTCACAATTATCCCCCGCCGCACGGCAGATCTGAGACCTGCTGAAGGTGATGAAGGTACTAGAGAGAGCAGCGTCATTAGAGAGATTAGGGTGCAGCGCAGGCTTGTGATGGTTTGAATGAGAAATGCCCCCAGAGGCTCATGTATTTGAACACTTGCTGCCCAGCTGGTGGTGGTGTTAGGGGGTTTTGAGACCTTTAAGAGGTGGTCTCTTGCTGGGGGAAGTACGTTATTGGGGGTGGGCAGTGAGTGTGTATATCCTGGCTGGACTTCTGTTCTCACTCTCTGCTTCCTGTGTGAATGAAAATGTAATCAGCCCATTTCCTGTCTCCATGTCTCCCCTGTCTGTTGCCACGCTTCTCCACCATGATGGACCCTGTCCCAGGGCAGCTGAAGCCAAAATAAAGCCTTTCTTCCTATCCTGCTTGTTGTCTGGGTATTTTATCACAGCAATAGAAAAGTAACTAATACAGATTTCAAGTAAGTTGGCTTCAAAACAGATTCCATCGGTGACTTTCATCATGAAATCATGACAAACATAATCTCATAAAGATCCACATAAATGAATGCCTAGCTATGAAAGTTTTATATGCCATGCTGTACCACACACATAATTAGAAATCTCTAGTGGAGAAAACACAGGTTTACACAGCAAGTTAACTCGGTGCTTCCTCCACATGACTGACATGGTGGTGAACGGATTTTTCTCAAGTCTGTGGCTAATGTCGTCCTCTGGGGAACAGAGACTGTGTCACTTCTGTGAGGCCTGAGATCCCTCATGTATGCAGGTCCTCAAGCACAGCTGTGCAGAAGTGTGTGCACCTGTTACCTTAACCTCTTTCAAGAGGTCACCAAATACCAAGGAGCTGTTGCAAATATCTTCAAAGATGTTGCTGAAGACCTGCAGCCTGTTAAACTGCTGGGGATTGCAGGTGCAGATTTTCTGGAGCTCCTGGAGGAAAGATTGACAGGGTCAGCCCCCTCAAGGGTATCCCCCTTTTCTTCCCAGAACAGCTTCTCCTGCAAAAACAGGAAAAGGCTGCCCGGATACTTGGGCTCTGCAGGGGTGGAGAAATCAGGGTGACTATGGTTACCTTCCACCAGCTGCCGAGAGCCTGACTTTGTTGCTTATTTGCCCCTTACACACAGCTGGTTCTTCGCTTTCCTGCATTTCCATCTACAACGTGCTGCCCCAGTTCATGAAGTCACCTCTGAGCCCACCCAGACACTGGCCCACCAGCAAGCCCCCATGGTCACAATAACACCTGCATCACTCCCTCATCCACTCAGGAGGTACACACACCTCTCCTTGCAGCCTTTGATATCTATCCCCGAGATACCTCCAGTTCTCTCAAGCTGCTCACTGGAAAGTCACCTCCAACTTCCCCACGGTAAATGTCATCTTCTTCCCATCACCCCACATCCCTTTTCACTACTCAATGTGGGGTACTGTGAGCACCGGAGGCTTTGCCTGGACATGTAACTCAGGTGCCCCAGGATGAGTCTGAGCCCACACGGGTCTGTGAACTGCAACCATGCTGACAGCCTGGCACACAGCCTCCTTACCTCCTGCAGCGCCTTCTCGTGGCGCACGGCCACCTTGCTCCCCGTGAAATCCTGTTTCAGGAGGTCTTGTTTCACCACGACTTGTTTTTGGAAGCTCAGGAACTTCTTGTACCTGTCAGCTTTTGTTGCACCAGCTAAGTAGGAGCTGATGTACTCGTACGTGTCCCTGCCTGGGGCAGACCTGGCACACTGGCGGCTAGATACCACCCTTGGGTACCTGAGCACCTTTATCTCAGGCAACCGGAGCTCCTCCTTCCTTTGTCTTTCCTCTTCCTCGTATTCTGCCTCCTGCAGGAACTTCCTTGAGGCAACATCCTCTTTCAAATCACGAGAAGTGAGCACACGTGGGTTCAAATACCTGAACAGCCCTGTGTTCTGGGCATCACGGGGATGCAGAGCTGTGTTGATGGTAAAATAAACCCAAACATCTTTCATCTCTGCCACCCTCCTGGCTCTAGAAGTAGTGGATGGGGAGACAGTTTTCTCTGATGGCCTGTGGGCACTGTACCAGTGCTGGAGGATGGTCTCAGGGGGCCTGTAGAGCTTGTCGGGGTTCAGGTGTCCTGAGGTGTAAAGGCAGATATCTTCTCTGTGGTCTTTCTGCAGACGGTCCAGGAGCTTCCTCATATTGCACAGGGTACTCACACCAGGGGTCTCACAGTGTTTCCACTTCGGGTGAACTGCTCAGAAGAGAAAACACAACCGTAAATTCTTCGCAGGAAGGCAGCCCTGTCCATTTGACCATGAAGCCCCCTTCTGCTCCCACCGGAAAGCAGCCAGGCAGACATGTCCCTCATGCCAAGCAGGGGTCTTTAGAGAGGAAAGGAAAATAGCTCCCAGTCTTGACCTTATAAGTCAAAAACACCTGTGCCCATGTCAGATCTAGCTGAGGACAGGGTCACACAGGTGCTCTTATAAACAGGAAACTCACACCCTATAAGGTCAGTATGCCAGTATGCTGGTTGGGGGGGGGTGTTCATTCACTAGGCTCAATCCAGAGTCACCTGGGAAGGGAGTGTCAATGAGGGATTTCCAGACCAGGTTGGCTTGTGAGCACATCAGTGTGGGATTGCTTTGATTACCATAATTGATATGGGAAGACCCAGTATACTGTAGCTAGCACCACTCCCTGGGCTTGGGGCCCTGAACTGCGTCAGGAGCAGAGAAAGTGAGCTGAGCACCAGCGCGTGCCTGCGTGTGCTCCTTTCTCTGCCCTTGATGTGATGTGACCAGCTGTACCATGTTCCTGTTGTCTTCACTTCCTCGATAGGATGGACCCAGAACTGGAAGGCGAATAAACCCTTTCTGCCTTAAAGTTGCGTTTGCCAGGGTGTTTTTGAACTACAGAATGTCAAGTTCTGTGGACCCAGTGTTTGGTGTCTGAAGCATCCATCATTCCTTCCTTTCCTGGCGGTGCGTTGACAGCATGCGTCTCCCTGCCACACAGGTACTGCTTCCCACATGCCTCAGTGGGAGGATGATCAGGAGTACCTGATCCAGGACACCAAGCCGTGGGGAGCCCTGGGGTCTCACCAAGTCCTGACCGTGTGGGTGCTGACCTGTTACCTCATTGCTCTGAACCTGGGTTTCACCCTCTGAAAACAGGGATAATCATCTCACACAAAATAGGAGATAGTCCACCAACCGTCCCTACCCTGTTAAAGTTCTCCTTCCTCAACACTTCTGACAGGGGTGTGCAGTGCGGATCTGTCGCCCTAATGACAGGGGTAGAGTCCACAAAGCCAATGGTATCAGCTTCTGGGAGGATCCTCGGGGAATAAATAAGCTTCCCTTGTCCCCATATCCATGGGGAGTCTGGCTGCAGGTGGTGGACCAGGCCCGACTGAGCCCTTGAGGAACAGCCTGAGCCTAGGCAGGGTAGGATGTACCTAAGGCTATCAGTTGCCAAGGCGGGAAGTCATCAAGGCAAGCCTGTCTGGGCCGTCAAGAGAAGGGACACAGAGATGCTTGTGAGACCCCCTGGGTCCAGCCAACCAGCAAGTGGCAGGGCCAGATGCACAGCTCTTCCCCAGCTGTTGCATGGCTCCCCTTGTTGCATGAACAAGGGGACCTGTGCCACATGCCATCCCGAGCACGTGTCCAGACCTGGTCTAAAAGCATCGCCTGTAAGGTCAGGCTGTGTCGTGGAATCGTGGACTTTATTTTCATCTATAAGACGACACAAGTAGAGGCAAAAGGGAAAGGAAGTCCCAGTGGCTTCAGCAGGCAGTGACCACAGCGCTCCGGCTTCAACAGCAGAGCCCCAGCTGCAGGCTGGGTCCTCACATCTGGCTTCACAGGCCTGAGATGTCCGTGTTGGAAGCCTTGGGGGAATGTCACTTCTGGACTTGTTCTTATTCTCAGAACCCACTTCCTGTGGCTGTGAAGTAGAAGTCCCCAGCTGGCTCTGGGGATGCTCACGTGCTTCCTGTGCTTCCTCTCTGAGCAAGCAATGGCTTCCCAGCCTCTGCTCTGGCTTGAGGCAGCTGAGTCCTGGGGCATGGAGCTATCTTCGCAGAAGCTTTAACTCCTCATTTCTCCTACCTGGGAGTGATGCCTCAGGTCTGCAAAAGAAGGTTAAGAAACGGTCCAGCCCAGAATTATGTCCCTTCGGGGATATGACCAAGCATAGATCCCGGTAAAGCCAAGGGATGTGACCAAGTCACCCCAGTACAGCCCTGTGTGAAAATGATGTCCCCACTGTGCAGAGAGTGCCGATGAACACTGGGGAAAACACTTCCCGGAGTGGCATTTCTGAGACTTTCCTCAACGATTAGCTTAGTACTTCAAAGAAAATTTATCGATGGATAAGATTTCAACAGGACAGTTTTTCAAACTGATAATCATTGCATATCATCAAAAGAATGAAAACAAATATTAGGGAAAGGCATGTCACACCAGCTCTGGAAATCGGTATCGGAACGGCACTTTGGTGTTGCCGTCCTGTCTGTCCTTTAGTTTATGTCCAGAAAAGATGCAAAGCCACCAGCAGGTTCACAGCCACAGCCTTACTCTGCCCGGGATGCATTTTAACTGAGTGAGAATTGGCAAATCCAGGTTCCATTTCAGGAGGAATTGTCTCATTAAGTTGGCCTTTGGGCATGCCTGGGATGGATGTACTAATTGTGTTAACTGAGTGGAAGGACCCACCCTAACGTAGGCAGGCCCCATTTCCTGGGCTGCACCCTGGACTGATGAGCGTGTGTTGAGCATGCATGTGTCCTTCGCTCTGTCCCTGGTTGTGATACCCATGACCACCAGCCATGAGTTTCTGCTACTGTCACTCCCCTGCTGTGGTGAACTGTGACCTGGAACTGTGGGTCAAAGTAAACCTTCTCTCCTAAGTTGCTTTGTCGGGGCATTTTGTCCAGTAACTAGAAACTAAAACTATCACATACTGTACAAATATATACCACACAGGTATGGGCATACCACATACAATATGCCCACTAACAGACCACACTCTCACAGGCATGAATACCTCCAGACTTCCCACATAATACACAATACACACACACACACACACACACACACACACACACCACCCTGTCTCTTTGCCCAACCCTGTCAGCTCTTCTGAAGAGAAGGGCCACAGGTCTCCAGAGTCCAACACAAACCCTCCCTGCAGCCACAAGAAAGGTTCTCACTCTCAAAACCACTTCTGAGACGTGGGTTCCCCAGACAAAATCAAGTGTCAACCAAACATTAAAAGCCAGCCAGCCACACACACACACACACACACACACACACACACACACACACACACACCTGCCCAGGAGAGCCACTTACACTCTGGTTCCAGATCCTTAGCCATCTCAACCCTCCTGTCACCAGCTACTGACTGAAGCTGCCTGCCGTTGCCCTTGGAACAGTAAACATTCCTAGCCCCTCCCCCATGGCTTGGTACTGCTGCCCAGGCAGAGGGTGGCTTGGAATCTCCCAGGCTCCCTCTGCCAGGGAGTTGCCCATTAGCTTTACTTTTCCAAACAAAACACTGTGTTGTGATTTGAAATTGAGCAAACATATCCTTACAGTCTAATTCCTTTCCAAATCCTGGGGTGTGAAAGACAGTTTGTCTGTGGATGCCCTCCCCCCATAAACGTGATGATGGTGCAGTGGATAGCCCCTCCAACTGCTCTAACACAGGGTATTGTGGGCACTAAATGAAAGCTTGGTTGTGGTATTGTTGCACACAAATCAAGCCATCAGAAACTGAGACCCCAGAAGTCAAGTAACTCACCCAAGACCAGCCAGAAAGGAGGGGAATGTGTAAATGCTGACTAGAGTGTGCTCTGATTTTCAGGCTCCTCCACTGACAAGGGCGAGAGCTGGACCTGCCCAACCTGTGGAAAGTGTTGGCTTGTTCATTTATTTCTCCAGACAGAATTTTTCCCATGTTATCCCTAGGTCAGCACAAAACACAATTATTCTACGCTCTCTGTGCTAGAGATAAACCGTCAAGGGTCAAGTGTCAGACCTTAAAAATACTCCAATAATAACAGGAAAACAATTAAACTCTCCGCTCCCGAATTGCTTTCTGCCCCAGTCCATCAGTGTTCTTGAAGTAGAAGCATATTCAGTTATGATCTCTGCAACAAACTGACCTGTGAAAACTACCGTGGATCTTTCTGGAAGCCTGCCTTTCAGAAGCGAATGGCCCAGGCTGCTACTGCTCTCTCTGTGTGGACGCATTTTCTGCTGTTCGGTGTTTTCCCTCTAGATGGTGCTGGAACACACCTTAAAGCTGACCAGGGGCCTCCTCAGCATCACCTGAGAAGGAGGGGGGGGGCGGGGGGGGGACAGGAGGCCGGCTGTGACCTGTGACCTCAGCAGCCAACCCCAACCCAGAAGCTTCGTTCTCGTTGGAACTTCTCCAGGTTGGAAAGGTGAGCTTCACAGAGGCAAACACTTTGGTTACAGCTCTTCAGCTGTTAGAATTTGGTGTACACAAATGGACAAGCTTCATCAATGGCTCTCTGCAGGGCTGGGGATGGAACCCAGGCCCCAAGGCAGGCTAGGCAGACGGGCCACCGCTGAGCCACACCCCTACCTCCAAAACCAGCGTTGTTAGCATCTGTTCTTCCTGAGTTCTGGGCAGACAGTGGGGAGGTGGTGAGAGCGAGAGATTTCAGATAAAAAAGCCAAACCCACGGGGCTGGAGAGATGGCTAGGCGGTTAAGAGCACTGAGTCGTGCAGAGGACCTGGTTTGCTACCTGGCCCCCTGCTTTCTTATACAACCCAGGACCACTGCCCAGGGAGGCACCACCCGCAGTGGGCGGGGCCTTCCCACATCACCCAGCAATCAAGAAAATGCCCCACAGACATGACCACAGGCCAGTCCAATGGAAGCAATTCCCCAATTGAGGTTCCATCCTCCCAGATGTGTTGTGGACAACTAAAGCTGTCCACACAGAACCACCAATGAGGGAGAACATGTTTTTCTGAGTGGACTGCATCATTTATTGTAGCAGTTTCCGATCCCTGGCTCAGTTGATAATATTGAACATCGAAGGCTAAGTACTCTGTGCATTATTTCACCGCTCATCTGCTCTGCTTACCATTATCGATGTTAAATTAGATCAGTTTCAAGGCAGTTATGGCAGCATGCTGTTATGAGGGTGTCTCCCCTTTGTAATTAGTCTGCACACCAGACATGAGGTGTCAGTACTGTGGAACTCCAGCTCCCCAAGAACTCCTCGTGCCCCTTGATGCTCCCTGCCTGAATCCGCTTGCTTTGGGGGTTGCAAGTGTTCTCCCCATCACTGCGATGTCATCTGCAGAGAACCTCCCCTTGTCCCCTTGGGGTCTGAGCCCCAGAGGAGGGGAGGGCTTCACCCTTCCTCCACCTGCCTTTCCCCAAGGAAAACTGGGCACAGCCCCTTTGATTTTGAACATCACTATACATTTTTTAATTTATTTTTACACCCACTTCCCAGATGGCACCCTCCCATAGCCTCCCTGCCCCCACTAGAGCCCTTATACTCTGATATCCCTGCTACTGTCTGCTGTGTTGTCGGCACCCCCAGCCATTCCCCACTACTTGCCCTTCTGGTGAATCTAGTCAGCCTATCTAGAGGTCTTTGTTTCAGGAGGGTCAGCTGTTCCTCATCTAGTGGTAATCAGTTGTCAACATTCCTTTGGATGAGATTGGGGTCTGCTGTTCAGCATAGTATAACCAGTCACTGTTCTCCCAATATGTTTATTGAGATGCATTTTGCCATCAACTCCTTGCTTTTAGAACACAGTTCAGTGGTATGTGACATGGAGTTGTGCATCTGTGACCACTGTCTTTTAAGACATTTTCATTGGGTCTAGAAAAAAATATCCTTTACATCTACAGCCAGGTCCTCAGCCTGGAAACCACCACTCGCCTTTCTGTCTGTGTGGCTTTTCCTAGTCCAGATTCATCATGTGACTAGCACCATAGGGTATGTGGTCTTTTGTGACTGGCCACACTGTAGAATTTATCAGGGCCTGTTTTTCATGACTGGATAGACTTCCATTGTAGTAAATGGCCACCCTTGGGCATCCATCTGTGCACTGGTAGGCACGTGGAATGTTTCTGTATTCGGATATTTTCGGTCATGTCATATGAACTAGCTTATATACGTTTTCATGTGGATTTTTAAATTTATCTCGGATATGTACCTCAGGGTGGACTAGCAGTTTATTTGGGAGCCCTGCATAACAGCTGGAGCAAAGGACGTTCAGCTGTTGCATGTCCACAGCCCTGCAGGCAGCTCATGAGGGTTTCTTATGGCTCTCTCTAAGGCTTGTTCATTGCTTTTTTTCAATTTCAGTTATCTGAGCAGGTGTAAGCAGCACATCACAGCTTTGGTCTGCGTCTCCCTGATAACTAATGGTTTGGGCAACTTTTCATGCGCTCACTAGCCCCTTACATAACTTCACTGGAAACGTCTATTGAAATCCTTCGTCCACTTTAAGTGGGGTTTTCCACCTTTTGGTGAGCCATTCTTTATCACATGTGATACGCATCTATTTTCTCTGACTTTGAGCTGTTTCCTCACTTACTTTACAGTATTCTTTGAGACATAAGGATTTTTAGTTTTAGTAAAGTTTGATTTGTTGATTTTTTTCTTTTGCTGCTTATTTTGGGGGGCTGTATCTAAGACACTGTTGCCTGTCCCCACATAAGTTTGATTAGCTATCTGCACCATGCTCTCTCTCTGGAGATTGTCCACCACTCGCCATGCTCCCTGTCCTTAACCCAACCTGCTTTTCCTCACTGTGGTTGCCAGCATGGACTACAGTAAACATCACTGGCTTCCTGCTCACAACACCCTTCACACAGGAACAGGCATGCCCTCAATACATTCGAAGTTCGCTTTTATTCTTGGCTGGATGCTCAGTGTCTAGATCTGAGCCTAGCTTGTGTCAGGTACATACCACAGCTGAGGGGACCAGAGCCAATGGCAAGGCAGCCGGCCCAAAGGCAGGACAGTGACAGCTCCCAGCCCACCCATGGGGCAAGGGAACAGGGCAGCTGGGACTTGTGGGGACATTGGAAGATGAAAGACCAAACCAGACTCAAAGCAAACACAGACCAGATGTCCAAGGAGAACTTGGTAAGAGGAAACAAAGAGCAGAGCGTCCCCATGGAAGACAGCAATATCCCCGATGTGTTGGGTAATTTATCTGTTCAGTCTGTCTGCATTTGAGGTATCCAGGTACTTGGTTCAGCAGTACTTAGGGTGTGCTGGTAGGGGTCAGTTTGCATAAGACCAGTGGTTGAAAGGTAGTGGATCAGTTTGGACTGCTGTAATGGAATCGTAAAGACTGGCTAACTGATAAGAAAAATATATTTCCCAAATGCCTTAATCCTCCTCCTAGACGTAGAGCAAGCAGCCTAGCCATTGACCTACTCCAAAAGGACTCAGGTCCCGTCCCAGCAGGTGCCTTCTTAGGAATGAACCATCTCCTCGATGCCTCACAAAGTCCCATCCAAATACCGGCTCATTGGTGATCAGATTTCATCACATGACTTTGGGGGCACCCAACACAAACACCCCCTTCCTAACATAACAGACCTTTTAATGCAGATGGATTTCCTGGTGTGATGGGGCTCCTCCAATCCAGGGGAGGCCTGAGAGATACCCCAGGATTGAGCAGTGGAAACTAGCCCTCTCTGCCTGGATGCACAGACCATTCACTGTTCTGGGATAGAGGCTTACCTAGCTCCAACCACCCATGCTGCTGGTTCTCAGGCCTGTTCATGTATGTCTAGAACTTGGGCCTCCAGCTCCTGAGTCACCAAATAGTAGAATCGCTCAGCCCCCGAGAATTGTGAGACAATTTCTCTCTCCCTAACCCTCCTTCCTGTCCTCTCTCCCCGAGTTCTGTTGGAGAATTCCAGCGTACCTGGCAGACCTGTATGATCCATGGTCAGTGGGACATAGTATCACTGAACAGATACAGTACAGCATTTTTCTTCTGAATGAAAAGTAACTTACAGAAGGATTTTGGGTGATTCCTTTGGTGAGGGGTGAAGAGCCATGGCAAGCAGTTTGATTGACACTTCCTCACTGACTCTGTCCCCACTGTGACCCACTACTGCACAGTCACCAACCTAAATGGAGCCCTGTAAGGTGCAAAGCTAAACAAAGCTCCCGGCTATTGGACCTGGAGACACGAGGCCCAGCACAGGCCTCACCGGTGCACAGAACACATTTCATCACCCTGAATGTACATGTGACCGTGCTAGAGGGTGCTGTTCACTGTGCCCTGGGCTCATTGTGTGTTGGGAGCCCAGTTTGGCTCTCAGACTCAGGCAGGTTCCCCTGAGTTCACTGTCTCCTGAGCTCACTCAGCCTCTAGTCAGTCAAAGCGTCTCATCTCAGAGACTCCAGGATATTGGGATGATTTGGCTGGGAGGCTCGGTGTGGGCCTTGTACAGTTATGGTCTCTCCCTGTCCCCAAAAATATCCTCGGGGTTCTCCTCTGTGTCCCTGGTGCTCACCAAGGCAGTGTGACCTCCCATCACAAGGAGGTGTGTCCCCAGGAGCTGGTCCCCACCCCTGGAGTCATAAAGGTGAGTTCAGCCAGGTGCACCTGGCTACCTCCTATACCCGCTGCTCAGTTTGGTCCTGTCATAGAGACTTCCGCTGTGGAACAAGCCACACACTGAGCTGCTAGAAAGAAAACAGGAGTCCCCAGTGGGCTGGGCTTTGCCTTTGCTTTGTTCATGGCCACTTTGGTTCTGGTTCTCACCAGGGTGGCCAGCAGGGCTGTGAGAGCCTGTAGGGCTCCCCATTCCCTTCCCTTCTGCCAGTCTTTCCTCCCAGTTCTCCCCTCAGCAGCCGGGCCAGAAAAGGTCCCTATAAATATCTTATTCCAAACAGGTTATCACCTCAGACATCAGGGCTTTCTTCTCAAGACTTCACATGCTGTGAATACCCAAACATTTTGAAAGCGAAAAGCAGGAAGGCTGCATTTTCTCTGAGCTGCTTGGCCCTAGCACATCGTCATCAAGGCCAGCGCTGAACAGGGGTCTTGCCTTCCTTGAAGGGAAGGTGGTGGCCTGGCATGGGCTCTGGATGGATTTCCTGCCTCTGTGTTTACCTGTGTTAGCCAGGTGCAGCCTCCACAAATGGGGACTGAAGCATGTGTCTCAGGCTAGCACAGTGCCCAAACGCCTACCAGGAAGCCCACCAGGTCTGAGGCCACTTGGCTCCGGTGAGTCACCGGACTTCCCTCTCATCCTTTTCCTCTTGGGAAGCGGCAACAGCTTGTATAATTCCTAGCACTGCTGCCAGGTTTCAGCTGATGAAATTGGGACCTAAGAGTGCGTGGCGCACAGTAACTGCTCAGTGTATGCACACCTCTAGTATTCCAGTCCGGTGTGGTCTGTGCCACAGCTCTACTTCCCACAATACAGCAAATGTGTGGGGCTTTTCAGTGTCTAGAAGAAAAAGTCTCAAAGAAGAGGCGAGACCACACTAGAGTCTTTAAGAATGCATTGGTCAAACAGAAATGGAGACCAGAGTTAGTACAAGAGGACACAGGCTGTCTACGGAACAGGCATGGACCCCACATGACTGACCGGTGGAGGCAGCAGGTAGGAGGGGCCCCAGAGCCAGCTGGTGGATGCCAGCAATCCAATCTCTATTGTGTGCTAAGGGCCACCAAAATGGGGAGAATGCAAAAACCACAAGCTCTTCAGCCCTATGGCTACAGCTCAGAGCTAGCAGGTCGGAATGGAAGCCCGAGTGCAGCAGGTTTCTGGAAACTCAGTGAGAAGCCCAACCTTAGCCTAGGAACACTGGCAGCTGATCACTGCTGTGTGAGGCAGAGTCGGTCTTAAGGGACTGACCCTAGATAGGTTGACCAGGCTCCAGTGGATGGACGCATACCAAGGGACATTTGGGGACAGAAACTTGGCTCAATGTGCCTTAACACAGATAACAGAATGCATGAAATTTGGTTTGAGGGGATACAGGAAGGGAGGGGTATAGATCAGGGATGTATTATATGAAATGCACAAAAATTCAGTAATTTTTTAAAATAAAAAATGTAATTTCCTTTAGCTGAGCTTCAAAGACAAACCCCAGTGTACCTCTCACGGTGAACCATGGTGTGTTACAGGGTTTCAACTTGGACGACTCTGTCTCTACACACCCCTGCCCACCATGTCCCACTCACGCTGTTCGGTGACCACCTTCCAGCTGACTATTTTGGGAGTGGCTCCTGCCCTGGGAAGCCACCTGGGCACTGACTGAGTTCAGTGTCCTCACTGCAGAATTTGAAGCAATCATTTTAACTTTTCCCCCAAAATTATCCAATAGCATTTTCCAATCATCTAAAATTCAACATTTAATGTTATTTCATCTTTTCTGCTTACAAAGTGCACATACGTATTCAATGTTAGAAGGTAGTGTGTTCCAACAGAGGAAGCCCAAGGGGCTTTAAAATGGACTTTTATGAAATGTCTGTGATCTTCCCCACAAATGAAAGACAAATGATAAACTTGAGAGATGGTATTTTAAAAACTTTGTATTCAATTATTCACACCAAAGAAGATCCATTAAAATTATGAACATTTCTAAATATATTTCATGTATCATACATATATATATACTTTATATGTATAATTACATATCGACAAAAGATTTCTTGCTGCTTTAAGCATGTAAGTAAAACAAAGATAGATTCTGCAATATACCACCCATATATGCGTATACACTGGCTGTTTGAATTATGAATTTATTTACACCTTGTCTAGTTATAATAAATGATTACTGTTGTATTATTACAAACAGAACAGTAAAGGGGCTTTTAAATACAAAGACTGCAAATGAACACATGAAAAAATTACACACATGTACAATATTTATAATTTATAAATGCAAAGTTAAGACTTCTTTAAATTATTGCACTTGCGCATTTTACAAATATTTTAATGTCATACATATAAAATCATTTCTTTTTGGAATATACTAACTCCTCAGCTATAATAAAGTTGGGTGTTGTTAATGTGAAATTCTTTCTTTCCCTCCAAAGGAGAAGCCTGTTAAGGCTTGGGCTACAGACCCATTGGCTACGGATCAGTTTCTCAGGAGTGCTGTTTGCAAGTGACCTGCGTCCTGCTCCAGCAGGTTCTGTCACCAGCGACCGGAGGGGCCTTGGCTGGGTGTGGATCTAGGATCTCGTTCACTCCTACATTCAGGAAGAGAAAGTCGCCTCTTCTCGGAAAGAATGAAGATGCCGCATTTGGATAGTTTGCTAAGTGTTTCACAGTGTTCTGGCAAGCACATGATTTTAAACAGGGAAGGGGCACTGTAGAGAAAGTCTGTGCGGAAAAATTCACTGCCTGCAGTCTGCACAGTAAATGAGCATCTAGCACGTACACGTACGACAGATCGTGTGGAAAACAACGTGCCCACACTCATTTATATTCACTATTCTGGATACAGCGTGGACTGGGGACGGGGCAACCGCATCAGAATGAAGGTGACGATGCTTGAGATACAGTGGTGTTTGGATGAGCTGGAGTACTGAACGATACCTTTGGAGATTTGATTTACAATAGGGATAAAAACTTTCCACTTAAACACCTGCAAATGTACAGTGGCTGGGGATTAACACGCACAGAAGTGTAGGAACTGACCTACATGGCAAACTCTGGATCTGGCCCGTTGCCCCCACACTGCTCTCCACCACCGAGCTGGGAAGAGAAACACCGGGTGACTGGGGCGGTGTTTCTTTGGGTTTTAGATGTTTTTCTTAGGAGACATTCCTGCCCTCCCTTGTTCCATCCTTCTCATGGGCCACAGGAACACCTCTGACCTCTTTTCTTCCTCTTGACCTCTTTTTATCATCCTATAAAATGGCTTAAATACTTTAGATACATCAAACTATACAGCTCTTTTTATTATTTTGAAGACAAAATGTATATATGTGCTGGGTATCACTAATTCAAACTCAGCATACATGAAGCCAGCCAGATGGACACCTGAATAAATACTTGCATGTGGAAATATTAATTGCCATGCACAGACACGTGTGGGAAAGCCATGGCTGACAGCAGCTTCAGCTAACTAAAATTTCACAACGATTGTCAAGCCAGACTGGCACTTGTACTGAGTCCGCCGAAGAGACGGGGTGCCAGTCTTCAAAGAATCTAAAGAATCATACCACGGATAAGATCCGCAGACCACGGAGGAGACAGAGGTGGGAACTACACAGAGGAGGACTTTCAGAATCAAAATCATGCTATGGAGCAGAAACCCAACGGAGCCCTGTCATTCCCCAGAGCCAGTTCTCACATGTTCCTGCAGAGCAAGAGAATCCCAGCAGCACGTTGCAGGGAGGCGATGACAGGATAGGCTGGCCAGGAAGGAGCCCCTTCAGACACTTCCCCACGTGCTCAGGCAAGAAAAGCAAAGTGAAGAGTTCATAGGTGGAGGAGAAAAAGCTCAGTCTTTAAAATAAAGGCACAGGCCGAGGCATGGTGAGTGGTTTAGTCCTGTTAAAGCTCAAACCTTGATTTAGAGTTCAGAAAAATGTGAGACTCCAACCTAAACCTATTAAAATCCAGGTCCCTAAGGATGTATGTGGAAACGTATGCTACCTAATGCGAAATAAACATCGGAAAGGCAAAATGCACCCAGCTTGTGCGAAATCCAAAGTGTAAATGCTAAAAGGGGGAGACTGCGCTGAGCAAACCTAGCTTCAAATTTGTGTTTTTTGCTGCGGTGGAGTCGCGTCACTTGGCACATCAGGTGCCGGTGACCAGCACATCCTTCAAACTGGAGGGGAGCCAGGAACAGGAACGATGACGGGGTCTAGAATTTCAACCGGCCTCTCCCCGCACTGGTCTCCCAAGCTTCTTAGACGTGAGCTGGGGAGCGTAGGGAGGGGCGGCTTTGCAGGTCTGACTTCCTTCCCTTTTCCCTGCGGATCGGACTGATTCACAGAGTCAACTACTCATTCACAACTAACTGATGTCTACAGATTTCACTTCACGGCCCAACTTCAATACCTCAGGCTGGTGCTGCCCCTGCATTTCCACTTCCAAGAGCATTTCCAGTTAAAAATGTGCTCAGGTGTCTGGAAAGAAAATGAATTGCTGTGACCATAAAACTTGTGAATTACAAATGGGCATAAATCATGTTATGTCTGTAAACATTCTATCCGATTCACTGTTAGTCACTAAGTCTGCAATGGATGGGTAAAATCTGGCTTAACATAAAGTTTACCTTGGTGAGAAGTCTCTAGGTTTTGGTAATAGAAGGCGTCTGCTCAGACTTCACACTGACCTTTCGAGAAAAAGACGAGATGGAACTCAAAACATGTTTGCCAAGACACAAAAGCACTCCTGACTCTGTGTATTCCAAGTCAAACTATTAACTGTGTACACCACATTCCAGCATCTTCCATGTGGGACACTTCCTAATTGAGTCTGATACGTGGTCAAAGCAATGTTAACAGGTTCCACCAGCAGAGACTTTATCCAAACTCTGCTTCTATGGCGATAATGTCTCACAGGAATCTGATCAATCAATAAATCCCTAACAGACTCCTTTGGGAAACTATTCAAGGTAAAGGTCATGTAATAAGATATTCTGGGATATGTCAAATTAAGAGAAGTTTCTTAGCATTTTTATCACAACAGCAACCTTGCAATGCTAAAGGAGTCACGAGATTCTCCCTCCTCACATAATCCCCCCTCCCCAGCAATGGGGGCCATGTGTACCTTCAAAATCCCCATAATTAACAACTGTCTCAAAAGATGCTTCTCTTCCAGCGACTCAGTCTCCAAGGTAGGACGGGTGACTAATCAGCTTCCAGGATTCAAGCCACTTTTGGAGGTGTCCAATTCCACTTCAGCCTTCTGCCTGTGAATGTGCTCACACCAGAAGTGACACGTCACCCACGTCCTGGCTGAACTGACATGTGTCCCAACATGGAGAACCTCTGATTCTGATCATCGGGTAACTTATTTTACATGAACACATGTTCCTTTCTCTCTCTCCTTTTTCTTGTATGTGTATGTGCATCATACACAGACATGTCTACACTCACATGTATGTGTGTGTACAGACCTATTACAGCACTTATCTCTCATGTTACAGGGGGAAAAAAACGGACTGGATTTTGCAAAAGTCAAGCTCGTGTGAGCAGTGATGTGTACAAATACTAGGTGTAGAAGTATAGGTCAAAAATTCACTTTATAGCGACACTGAATGTTCCTGCCACAGACTGGTAAATGAGCCACTTGCTTTGGTCTGACTTCTTGAGACATTCGCTCAAGTGAGAGAGAACCAGGCACGGGTTCGGATATCTCCGTTCTGCATGCCACTGTCCTGAAGACACCTCTGGCATGGAGCTGTGACAGCCTCACACCTCTGTGGGAGGGGGCCCATGGGGTCCTCTGGTGGCTTTTCCAAACAATCACTTTGCACAGTACTAGTCACCAGAAAGTAACGTAAGAGAGCCATCCATACCCAGGGCTCCGACACATCAAGGCCAGACCTGGCTGGGCAAAGGGAGGCTCCAGGAGACAGACTATGCTCTATCTGCTCTGAAGAGAGCCCAGCAATGTGGTGAAGGGACTTCTAGAATAATTGTTCATTTTGAATGTGACTAATATTCTGCTGTGACACAGTGAAAATATAAAAGACTCATTCTTAAAAATTCACGTTTTACATTCACAAGATTTGTTTGTTGGAAAAATTTCTATGTCTTTTATTTTGTTCTTTATGCAAAGGGTTGGTAAAGATGCCACGGCTACCATAAGGAAGAGTGTGTTTTCAATCTGTGAAGTGAGGTCGTAGTTCTGAGATTCCTGGGGCATAAGTACCCTGTGTCGCCTCCAGAAAGGACCGAGGTCGGTTCCCTCCAGAGCTAAACTGACTCACATACTTGTTCCTGGATACATGGAAAGCACACACCTCCAATCTGCCTAATGCCAAGACGCTCTGGAAGGAGACCTGGCTCTCGCTTGTTACTCTGTAACCTTCATGACACATCGGAGGCTGTGAGCTACAATTCAAGCTAATTACAAGGACATCACACAGGAGCATTCACAACAGCAACGTGTATCCTATTTATAACGCACACCACCAAAGTCCCACTGTTGGTAACGGTGAAGCATAGTACCGTGTAGTGCCATTCACACCCTCAGGGAAGGAGGCAGCTGAGCTCCCCTCACATGGTCTCTGTCCACCTCCGCCAAGGCCTGTGCAGTGCTGGCCCGTCAGCAGAGAGCATTCACAAGCCAGGGGAGCCGCTGGCCCAGCTCTGTTTGCACATGGGGAGGCCCAGGTTGCTCCATATCCTCCGAGAGTGCAACAGGCCTGGGAGGAAGTCACCTGCTTCCCATGTGCATGTGATGGTACCTTCTGGGGAGGGTCTGCACCCGTTATCAGGTGTAGGTCCCCCCTTGAAAATAAAAAAAACAAAGTCAAAGAAGCAGATGGAAGTCAGCTGCTGGGCAGGACGAGCCGTCGGGATCAGTCATCAACCTTCAGGGGCAGCTTCTCTGACGTCCCTTGGGCAGGCGCAGGGGCTGAGAGCCACAATGCACTCTCCTCCCCTCGGATCACCTTCTCCCACTGACTGAGATTATCCCTGGGAACAAAAGACACGGTCACAGATGACATTCCAACAGATTCACTTTCAAGACTTGGCACATCGGCAGTGCGGCCCGACCGAGCATGGCCTTACTATGGTGCCGCTCCGATGCCGGCCGTGGCTGGAATGGGGCAGCCGGGCAGGGTGGTGCCAGGTGCCCTCAGGAATGAACCACAGTGCCACCAGAGTTCTGGGCACCTTGTTCCACTGGCTCTAGGCTGCAGGGACAGAACCATTCTGGAGCCTTGGCCTGACTCCCCCATCAGTGGTAAGGACACGGTCAGCAGGGAATGCACCCAGGGCTCCCTGCTGGAGCTGCGCAGGACAAGGGGAAGCCAGGGGTGCCATGGTGGGGTGCGGTGAGATAAAGAGGTCAGTGAACGCTTCCTCAGCACACCTCCATCCTTGATCTGAACACTGTCATCCATAAGACATCTCACACGGCCCCTGGCACTGACCTGACATGCCCTGCTACAGACACTGTGCTGTCCTCCCTCCAATGGCAGCTGCCTTTCTCCTCCTGCCCTGAGCTTTCTCTCTCCTTGCCCTTATCTCCAGCACCACAGGCACGTGACCTTGCAAGTCTGCAACTGTAACCACTGTGGGACCAACATCTCACGCTCTAGGCCTGGCTGGCTCTTCACACCTCCTTCCTTAGACCTTGCCATCTTTTATACAAAGTCAATGTCAGAAGGGAATTTTGACGTTGGCAAGCACAACATCAAATTTATACATGGCACTACTTAAAAAGTCTTCCCCTAATTTTCTTTTATTAGCAAGCATGCCAACACACCTTTGGAGAACAAATAGTCCTAAAATACAACTTTAAGAGAGTAAAACTTTAACTTGTACCATAACAGCAGGCATCATTTTACCAGATCTTAGAGATTTTCTGATGTATTGGCAAAAGATCAACAGTAATTTTGGTATATTTCCTTGATCATCAATGACACATGCAGAATATTTTAAAACAAAAATGGTCTTTAGGAAGTTACGTGGGCCAAGCAAGCACAGAGAAGTAGGGACTCACCGAAGCTGCCCAAACAGCCGACGACCACATTTGCCAGGCTGTAGGTGTCAGGAGGCTCAGCAGTCCTCCCTGGGCTTGAGGACCACAGCAGCCACGTGCCCTGCTGGCTTCTATCACCCACCACAACACACTACACTGGATAGGAAAGGAGGTTTTTTTGCTTTTACTTAGGATTGCTAAAGTACAGGCCTAGATTTGAACTGATGTACCAGCTACCTTTTAACATGTGTGCACTTGTACAAGATTTGGGAAGCCAGCTCTTGTCTACACCAGCCATCCTGACTTAGCCCCTGCAGGTTAAATTACAGAATTCCTCACTGATTCTAGCCATACATGGAAATTTGACAAGATGGGCCGGGTGCTGCACTGTCCAAGACAGGATGGAAGAGAGGCTGTCTAGCAAACAGGAAAACACGTCTTCAAAATGTTCTGGCTTGTCAGTTCTGTTTGGTGTTTCAAAAAGTAGCCCATTAGGCAGAGAGAGTAGGGGTGTGTCAAGTTTGGGTTTCACTTAAAACGCTCTGGCTAATTGTCTGCCTTCTTTCTGTGGGGTCCCTTCCAGCTGCCCAGTCTGGGCACGGCTGAGCAGTGAGAAAGAGCCCTGGGAACCACTGTCCCCCAGAGTACTGTCACCTCCTGTTTTCCAAGAAGTTCCCAGGGAACTCGTCAGGAAATCAGAAACTTTACAAGTGTCATTGTTCTTAACTAAGTGAGGGAAGGGTGGGGAGAAAGCACCTGGAGCAGGTGCCAGGCGGAGGACAAGCTCCCTAAGAGGACGGGTGTCATACGAGTCTTCTTTCCTTCCACTTACCGGATGTGCTGTGATCTAAGCTGAGCCCCTTTCCTGACAAACACCTGGGCAGAGGGCACCACCCTGTGCTCCTGCCCACCCCCGGGGGGGGTCCTCTGTGTGGTTCCTCTTTCTCTCTTCTGGAGACTGAGTATCTTTATGGTAAACTTTCTTCACATGCATCTATGTATGTCAGTGCAAGAAACCTGTGGTGGCTATGAGATTTGTAACAGCAGAAGGTACATTTCTGCATTCTGGGGCCACACTGGGTATCGCAGGCTACAGGGTACTGCCTGCCAGGGGTCCAGGACCCAGGCCTGGTCAGCACAGACATGACACTCACAGATTGAGAACTGAGCCACTTACAGGAAGAGCCACACTGACTTCAGAGAGAGACTCCTGGTTCCTGGCTCAAAGCACAGATGAGATCTCCTCTGAGGCGTATCTGTGTCTCAACACACAGCCCTCTAGCTCAGCTGGACAGCTGACCTCTGATCCTGGCCCATGACATGGGCTAGCAGGACCATTTGACCTGTCAGTGCTGCAGAGTAGGCTGCCTGAGCAAAGGGTGTGCACTGAGATTTGTCTCTGATGGGAACTAAACAAAGGGGGTATGTGGTCCCTGGCAGGGCCAGTCAACTGGGAACCCCCAAGACCCCCAAGTGGGACAAGCTGATACCAAGGCAAACACACAGGTTCCAAATCTGGATGTTCACTGTAAGCTGTGAATAAAACACTCACAGTCTGATGGAGATAGAAACTCCATGCAAGGTCTGAGCTGGCTTTGAAGCTCACACTTGGAGCTGTGTACCTACCTGCAGGCCTTCAGCAGAGGCTCGGTGGGTGGGAGGATCTGGGTCAGGGTGGTGTAGCACGGAATGGCAACTGCATTGTAGAACCCAAGCTGCCACAAGAAAGTCAGGGACACAAAACAAAATCGCCGTTAGTGGCTGTGGATGCCTCTCACCCTTGAGCTTCTCAAGTCTAACTGTAAAGTTAGTGCTCTTGTCATGTCAAATGTGTTTATGTGGGCCCGAAGAGTTGAATGGTGGACAATTAAGATGAATCCCAGAGAGAAGACACAGAAGTCTAAAACATACTAGAAAAGCTAATACCCACGGGCATCTAAAAGCTCAAGTTAAACAAGATTGTACCTGCACATCCATCAAGCTCTAATTCAAAGGCCTGCTGAGGTGGTGGGTTAATTTAGCAACATTTAAATAAGTTTTAGTAGCTGTTTTAACAAGGTTTAATAAGTCATGTCACCTCAGCTTGGTCTAATTAAGGCCAGATGTGGGGGATTGAAGTCTGTGAATAGACAGCATGGTGTAGCCACCTGTACCTGCCCTGGACTGGGCGCTGCAGGAGAACTGGCCAGCAGACGGCTCAAGGGCAGCAGAGCTCTGCAGGTCCCTCAGCTCACTATATGAGCTTAACCACGTCTGTAAAAACTTAAACTTCCCTGAGATGCACAAAAGACCAGAAGCAGTTCCACATGGTTCCTCTCTCCGTCTCCTGCTGCAGCAGTTACCGAGGTCTTTATACCGCAGCAATGCTCCTGCATGTCTACTTTGAACTTTTTTGGAAATAAGTTTGAGAGATGGTGTCTTACCACGCAGCCAGGGCAGGCTTGGAACTCTCCAGCCTCCTGCAGCAGGCTCCCGAGTGCTGGGATTGGGCATGAACCACCACACTGAGCTCCGCTTTAATTATATAGTTCATACAGAGATTTTCTTATTTTAAATTTCAGCACATGTCACAGGGCTAGACTATCCTAAGAAAAAGATTACTTATTTGAAAACAGGGTGCTTCATTACTATGACACGGATAATGTCATAGTAATCAATTTAGAATTTAGAATAGTTGGTAAAAATAAAATATTTGCTGATCAAAGAGATATTTAAAACTCTTCCATGCCAAAAAGGAGTTAATTTTTTTTTGGTAAAACTAAATCTTTTTTAAAATGAT